AAGAGTGACATTAGGCTGGCCCAGTTGCATTGTGCTTGTGTTTCTATCATTGTACCACTCTGGAAAATCTGGCAGAAAAGTAGTTTACCTTTTCCTCTGAAGCTTGTAGTTAATAGCACCACAATAAGTGGCAAGTCCTCTCTTCAGTCATATCTAGTTGTTCCAGGAGCAATTTTAGGACCCACCTGCTCACATAGTAAGCCACTCATGTGACTTGCTGGAAATAAGACGAAGTGCAAAGGTGCATGAAAAATACGGTTGCCAGGAGTCTAAAAGTAAAGGACTCTAGGGTCAGGCATGTCAAGCGTTGAGCCCCTAGACCTGTGTCATCTGGCCCATGGGGTGCTTGGGAAGATGGGGAATTGCAGGGGGAGCGGTGAATGGAGGCTGCCGAATTCGGGGGTACACAGCCCCATCAGGGACGTGTTTCCGTTATGGCAGGGAGAACAACTGCTGCATTAACTCCCACAGCATCTTGAGCCAACACAGCTCCACCTGCACTTAGCTCTTCTCTGAAGGTGGTTCCAGATCTGGCCCAAGGTGCCAAGCAAGTTTGATAGCCCTGCCCTTGGTAAAATCGAGGATATTTCAGCTTCACCTTAAATCCAACCTAGAGCTTTTAAGAGCAACTAGTGGCACAGAATGCTCTAGAAATAAAAGTAGCATCTATAGTCCTGAGTCCCTAATGCTGAGATACAAAACATATAGATTATTTTTTCTCATTCTTTTTATTTGTACACAATAAATGTGATGTTCCATTTGGACCTAGTTGAATTTTTATCATCAATTTTGAACTGCATATCAAATTTTTGTATTTTCCATCATCTGAAAATTTTTCCGTGAAACTGAATGAAAAAATTCAGGTTTCAATTCTTTGGGCTCCCCTTTTTTCTGCCTTTTCTATTGAGATTATGATGGAGGGAGCATTCAACAACAGTAATTAAAAAAAAAAAAAAAAAAAAAAATTTAAGTTTTAAACATGGTAAAATCCTCGTGTGGACAAGGCCATATTTTAAAACAGATTTCGTTTTTCCTCCCCCTTGTGTAGTGATGACTTAAAAATGCTATTTAAAGGTGTATACTGTTTCTGTTGAAAACTATAACCATCTGTGAATGGTTGTCTTTGATTCTAGTCTCATTCTTATGCTTTCCAATGCAAAAAAAAAAGTGTGAATAGTTAACGATGATAATATTCTATATGGGTGAGCTTAGTCTGTTTTAATGCTGTTAATACCACAGCACTGTACTTGGGGAGCATTGCTTACAGTGCTGTCAGCTTGTGGACAGAAATTTGAATATATGGGGATTAGCTGGTATTAATCTTTAAATCTGATACTAATCACATTTGCATTGTGTGTAGTTCTGTCCGTGGAAATCCGTCTGGGCTTTTCACAGCACCTAAGGTGTGAAGTTCTGCGTGGAAAACTTTTAATGCATTCACATCCAAAGCCCTTTCATAGTGGCAGAACACTCCACTCTGCCAGTAAAGAAAGATGCTTCATTTTTGCCAGGTGTACTGAGATTTGTGTGTCTTCCCAGTAGACAGTCGAAGACAAATGTGGCTATTTTTGAGCCTTCAACAAGTGTCATGGTCCATTTAGCAGCCAGCACTCTCCCAGAGCTAACTTTATGCTCTGGCAGATAGCTGCTGCATGACGGTGTCAGAAGCAACTGCTGTTTAGTGCCAGAACTTCTGGTGGGAGAAGCAGGTGAGCTTAACACTTGATATGCAATATGTTGTTCTGTCTTCTGTTGATAATCGGGTTGCAGATATTTTTTTTTTTCTAAAGTATCTGTATAATGCTTGTCTGATTTTGTAACTTAACAAAAAATATATGCAGAACAAAAATGTGAAATAAAGCATTACGATTCCCTTTGCCCCATTAAAAACATCTCTGTAATTAAATGTTTATTTTTATGACCTAAAATTACTCTGGGAATTCTTCCTCTATATCAGCAGTTGGCAAGGTTTTTGCGGTGGTAGGCCAGAATGTCCTGGTTGGAGTCTCAAGTGGACTGATGCTAGATCTGGCTGCTACCACTTCTTGTATGGGGGAAGCTCTCTGCCACGTGGCCATATCATGGCATGGGCAAAGCTAAACAATGCCAGAGACCTCCTAGCTCCATGGGATGGATCCAATGGCTCTGCAGACCATTGGTTGCCGACTCTTCCTCTACATTGGGGTGGGCAATTATTTCGGGTGGAGGGCTGTTTAATGCATTTTGGTCAGCTGTCAAGGGCCGCATGGGTATGCCTTCCCCTTGACAGTTGCCCTACCCCCTTATTGCCATCTTGGGACTGGAAGTTCCACCCCTAACCCCTGACCTTTGTCACTGGAGGTCCCTCCCCTTGCCTCCCTGAAATACTCCTTTTGGGAGTGGGGGTTGCCATCTTAGAGTCTGAAGAAAACCAAATCATACACTAAAAGGCAAATGCCTACTATGACATATTTTAATTATATTACAGAAATTATTTTTGTCATGATTTTCACTTGCATAGTGTATATAGAGGTGATTAAGAGTTTATTTTTGAGTTATTATGCAGTCTTGTATATTGTGGGGCGTCAGTGTGTATGGTGGCTTGTGGGGGTTTGTGATGGGATGTAGCTGTGGGGGGGGCATAGGGTATGTTGGGGGTTGTGTATATGTAAAGGACTGTGGGGGCAGGGTGGAGGGTGTGGGGACCCCCCCCCACACACACACACACACACTCACTCCCTTCTGTGGCGCAGCAGCAGCTGGCAGGGCACTCTGCGCACAGGCACACGGTGAGGTGCGGTTCTGGCTAGCGCTGCATGTTGCAGTGAGGAATGCAGCCTCTGCTGAGCCATCTATATTGCTGGTGCTCCCTGGCACTCGCGCGCAGCCCGCACATTCACCAGGCATAGGAGGGAAGCCCTGCATACTGGACCTGGCTGCCTTCCTCGCCAGGCGCTAGCTCCAGCTGATGAGGCTTCTGTCCGGTGCTGCACAGCCCCAGCAAGGAAGGCAGCCAGTTCCAGCCCACAGTTTCCTTCCTCTGCCTCGTGAGTACAGGAGTGGCAGGGAGCACTGGCAATACAGACTGCCTGGTGGAGGCTGCCCCTGCTGTGTAGCACTGGCTGGAGCCGCACTCTGCCGGGCACCTGCACCCTGAGCGCTCCCGCGTGCTGCTACTACCACCGCCTGCCAGGGCTACACACCAGGGGGAAGCTGAATG